GTGACTGCACTGCTCTTTCGCCAATACTCAGAGCCAGATTAGGCCAATCGTACCAATCACTAGAAGAGATCTGAGGCACCGCCTTCAGCGACGTCATCGCCTACGTAGAATCGCTAGGCTGGGTGACGAGCTAATGATGACCTCTCCTCTTGTGGAGTGTGGAGGCGCACAATGGGCATAATTGTGGCCTAAGTGCTGTAGCATACCTTATATACCACCCTCCCAGATACAGAGGTAGTAGATACACAATAATTCAATAATAAAATAGCTATCAAACAAATTGACAAGAAAAAACAACCTAACATCCCCACTTGACACAAGAAAAACGAATACGCAAACCGAATTAGGCGACTAGAATACCGCTCGCAGAAAAGCGAATGAAAATATGCGCATACGAAACTTTGCGAACGGCCAAAAATCGGAACTTGTGACTGTTCGCAGATTTAGGAACAATCTACATACGTGTCTATATTTGCGAACGGTCAAAAATTGACCCAGGCCCCATATTCTTGACTGTCCGGGAAGGGAGTGTTCCCGGGAACGTTCCCAGGAAAGCTAGTTCACCTTCGCTCCCGGGAGCTAAAAAGTCGTATTCTTGAATACCCACAAACGCTCGCAATGTTGCCGCCTATGCGAGTGTCACTCGGACTAACCAAAACGTATTTTCAAGGAAAAAAAACGAAGAGGAAGTAATCTAACCCCAACGTTTGATGTTTATTATTGTCTATTTTTCCAAACTTTGAAAGCTGAAAGGCGTTTGGGTTTGATAATTTATTTATTTTTAATTAGGTACCCTATGAGCATCATCGCTGTGTTTTCGATAATTGTATTCCTCCTTTGGGATTTTTTATACATGAGGGAAATATTCCGCATAATTTTCCGCAGCATAAATTCCGTATTCCTGTTCCTGAACTTCATGTGGCTCATCAACTTCTGGAATACTGTGTTCAATGCATACCTTTGTAGTTTTGGTTGAAGCCGAGATTTGCATTGAAGCGGTAACATACGGAGTAACCATGTCCACTATTTCGTGGCATACATTTTTGCTCACTCCTAAAAATTTCATGCATTTCTGATCAAGGGAAAAAGAATTCTCCGACGCAGAACATCCCATCCTATTTCTTTCGCTTCCGCAGCATTTCCCATGTCTTCTTGGATTATGTTCTGTATTCAAGATAATCTCATTAAAATAATCCACAGTCATAAAAATGACACATAAAAACGAAAAAGCCGTGAACTTGGTGAACTTGAAAGGAGAATACAAAAACAACGTCAAGTTTGAAAACAACGTCAAGTTTTGAGGTTAGAAACCCTGGCGGGAACTCGTTTTCTCTTGGGTGAGAGGATGGGAACTTCAGAATTCCCGGGAACTTTCACTTCACAGCCCCATTTTGAAGAATATGACGTGTACCGTTTTGAGGTGAACCTTGCTCACTTCCCGAGCAAGTTCTCCTCCCAGATGGATGTAATCATGACGGATTGTGCGAAGGCTTTTGACAAGGTTGACCATGGCATACTGGTTCAAAAACGGGGTGAATTTGATTTCTCTAGGGAGGCATGTCTCCTTATAAAGTCTTATTTGTCATCTAGGCAACATCAAGTCAAAGTAGGTAAAAAGCTATCTAAAAGATTTATTGCAACATCTGGAGTGCCACAGGGCAGTAATCTTGGGCCTCTGCTCTTTGCAATTTTCATAAATAACCTGCCGGCCAGTCTCAACTTTTCTGACTGTCTTCTGTACGCAGATGACTTCAAAATCTTTAAAGTTATTAGAACACCTCAAGACTGTCAGCTCTTGCAAAGTGATCTGCACTCTGTTACGCAGTGGTTACGACTATGTAATGGACGGGGCTGTGCTCGATAGAAAAAATGAGTGTAGGGACCTTGGGATTTATTTGCAGACTAACCTAAAGTTTAATACCCACTATAAGAATATTGTTGCTAAGGCATATAGGTCTTTAGGATTTATTATTAAGAACACAAGACATTTCAAGGCGATTAGTTCAATAGTTACTTTGTATAATGCCCTTGTGAGGCCACACTTGGAATATGCCTCTGTCATCTGGGCTCCCCAAGCTGAGGTCAATAATGCCCTGATCTTGTGTTTTTTGTCTCTAGTTTTAATTTTTAGTATAGTTTAGTACCAGTAAGCACTCTTATACAGGGTTAGTAAAAAGTATTGCAACACTTAAATATCTTCAAAACTGCTTAAGCCGCGTTCACACAATTCGGAATCTGACAGTTTTTAAGCATTCGGAATTCAACAGTGCTATTGACAATGTTGCCAGATTTCCCAGTTTTGCGCTACACGTAGTCTTTTTGTTATCTTAAATAGAATGCCCCATTTATTTTTATTGCAATGAATTGGTCGTGCCAAATTTGATAAGACTACACATTTTCAGCATTCTATCTCTACTAGTTGTTGAAATATGACAACACCGTATTTTCGGTGAAAAGTATAGTAACGCTTGAATATCTTCAAACGCCGCTTAAGCACGTTCACGAAATTTGGTATCTGGCGGTTTTTGGGCAAGCGAAATACAACCGTGATATCGGCACTGTTGCCAGATTTCCCAGTTTCGCGCTACACGTAGTCATGCTCGTGACTTATAAGTTTTTTTATTTTTTTTTGTAAATACACGTTGCTTGTTCATAAGGTATTCATATTTCCATGCGTTTTCGAGAGGTTTGCGGCTCCTCCTGAAATAGGTAGGAAGGTAGGTAACTATCCCAGAATGATTCTCACTATAGTAGTATCTAACAGTACGTAAGAAGCATATTGAAAATTTGGAATCTCATTAAAATTTGGACCAAGTCATTGCAATAATAATAAATGGGGCATTTTATTTAAGATAACAAAAAGACTACGTGTAGCGCAAAACTGGGAAACTTGGCAACAATGCCGATATCACAGCTGAATTTCGCTTACCCATAAATTCCCAGATACCGAATTTAATGGACGAGCTTAAGCGAGTTTTAAAGATAATCAAGCGTTGCGATACCGTTCACTGAAAATGCGGTGTTGGCATATTTCAGCAACTAGTAGAGATAGAATTCTGAAAATTTGGAATCTTATTAAATTTGTCACGTCCAATTTATTGCAATAAAAATAAATGGGGCATTCTATTCAAAATAACAAAAAGACTACGTTTAGCGCAAAACTTGGAAGTCTGGCAACAATGCCGATATCGCGGTTGAATTTCGCTTGCCCAAAAACCCCCAGATACCAAATTTCGTGAACGTGCTTGAGCGGCGTTTAAAGATATTCAAGCGTTACTATACTTTTCACCCAAAATACGGTGTTGTCATATTTCAGCAATTAGTAGCGATAGAATTCTGAAAGTTTGAAATCTTATCAAGTTCGGCACGCCCAATTTATTGCAAGAAAAATAAATGAGGCATTCTATTTAAGATAACAAAAAGACTACATGTAGCGCAAAACTGGGAAATCTGGCAACATTGTCAATAGCACTGTTGAATTCCGCATGTCCAAAAACTCTCAGATTCCGAATTGTGTGAACGCGGCTTAAGCAGTATTGAAGATATTTAAGTGTTGCAGTACTTTTTACTAACCCTGTATATGTAATTACAATTTATTGTGTACATGTGAGAGTATAAATAAATAAATAAAAATAAAAAATATGTCAAAGACATAGAAGTTCTAGATAAGATACAGAGACAAGCGAGGAGACAAGTTACAAAAATTCCACCAGAACTGGCAGAACTACGGGACCTTCAATACACAGAGAGATTTAAAAGAATAAAACTAATAACTTTAAAGGAGAGAAGACATAGAGGAGACTTAATCGAAACATACTGTCTCCAGTAACTACTATAATTTCGATATCAGAGAAATCTTTGTACAAATCCAAAACTATTTTCGAGGGCACTTTAAGAAACTCGAAAAAAAAAACGCAAAACTGCCTAGAAGAAACTTTCTGAGCAACAGAGTTGTTTTTTAATGAAACGCAGGGGTGTGTTCAAAGACGGCAATGCTTATGCCAAAACTTACTTTTCCCCCTCCACCGGTGATGCCGAACCACGTAGGTCGGAGCCAAACTCGAACGCAAAATGCCAATTTTGGCTTGGCTGTAGCCATTCCTGAACGCAGCCCTGGAAGACCAGACAGTGGCAGCACCAAACGGTCAACGCGTTCAAAAATAGACTGGACAAAGAACTCGAGAATAGTGCAGTTAGAAAGATACATTACAGTGCATAAACAGATACACATAAAAGAAAAACATATTTTTAAATGCAGCCATAGCTTCATCAGTTTTACCGCCTGCTGTTGGACAAAAACATGATTACACTGACATCCCTCAAATATTCTAGAAAATCCCCATTAATAGGAGAGACATAACTAGACATTGATCAGAGATACCTTGATCGTATCACACACAATATATTGATTCTTTACATGATCTACTATTGTCAAGTCTGTTGTAATGATATAAAAAATATTTACATTGTCTGGCAGAGACAGGCATATAAATTTTTAGGTATTTAGATAGTTTTTAGGTATACATACAGTCTGTCGATTTTAATCTTATACTCCAAAGGAATGGTGGTGAGCTGGTGGCTCCTTACATAAGAACTTCAATGGTCACCTGACGTCGCACCCATATGCTTCACCTCCTCGCTTCTCATACGTGAAGTATCAGATTAAAAACGACAGACAATACCTAGAAGAATGGAAAAAAAATTAATAATTTTATGGAAGTTTGCAATAATAATCTTGCTTGTTATCTTGTCGAAGCCCTGAACTGTTGCTGGACTGTTACTGTATGCCTCTAGGTGCTTCCCTTAGTTATAGCTGAATGGCACAAGGTAGGTATTTAAATTAGGAATGAATAGCAGTTTGAAATGAGAAGTATATATAATGTAGGTCTATTCATATTGCATAAATAATAAATATTTCTCTGGAGTTATTTAAAATTTGAGTTGCTGTTTGGTAACGAGTTTTGGTTCTCAAATGACCTGCAACCAAATACTTTACTTACCTTAACATTCAACTTCCTCTTACTCAATATATCATCAGCATACCTCTGTTTGAGTTGTTCTTGCAATACTATGGGCTTAATTTTAAAAGCTGTATTAGTCACATTTTGTCCCTTTGGTAAAAACTTGGTTTTGGACTGTTTGAGCTTGGTTTTAGCTTTTTCTGCTTTGAGGTCTTTCTTATGGCGATGATTTTTACCCATTTTTCAATGGAAACTTCTTGAAAATTGTTAATAATATGCAAGAGATCAAAATAAAGCGAAAGTAAATCAAATTCCACTAAATCAAACCATGATCCACATGTTTAAATATTTTTTGGTGGCAAACTCTAGCAAAACAAAAACATTCAATGAACAAACAAGAGCACGCAGCGCACCATGCGGACAAATTAGGTTATGTTCTGACTTCTTGTTCTGTGTTCTGGCTAGAGGTGGGCCAACCTCAAGGATGATACACACTACTAAGGATGGCTTATCCTCATAAGGCCTGTGTGTAACAAATCCCCCCCTACCCCGCCTAGCCAAAAAATCAGTTGTGACGTAAACATCATGGCGTTTTTCGTCTTGACGTAGGCTGTTTGCACCACAGGTTATGTTATGATCTGGCTGCTGGCTGGAAATTATGGAACTAGTTTCTAGTATAATTAAAGTCTAAAATTATAAAATTATATCAGATACATATAATCATGACTTTTAATTATTACTGTTGTGTTCCTCAATGCAAGTCTTGGGCTAAAAAAAAAAGCTGACAAAGGATTGAGTTTCTACATATTTCCCCTTGAAACAGGCCCACGGGTTTATTTGGAAACGAAAATGGAAAAAGAAGTGTCGAGAAGAAAAGCCTTCTGGATTTTAAAACTTCGTATTGGCAAACCAGTCACCAAATTCATGAAAGTGTATTCTCTGCATCTCAATTAAGCAAGAATTTTGTGTTAAGGTAAACAAGCATAATGGATAGTTTTGTGCCCTAGCTTCATTTTAGGCCTGCTTCTAGGCATTTATCAAGTAAGTACTATCTATTTTTAAAATGTTTTGTTTGAAAATATTGACTGTTTTTATTATTTACAGGTGAGAGTACAGGTCTTAGGGCGGGTATTATAAAACTGCTTTGACAGTTAACTTAAAGTTAACTTTTTGAATTACATGTAGTAGTAGTTTTATAATACCCACCCTTAGAGGTACAGGTAGAGGTCGGATATTGAAAAAAACAGTTGTAGCATCCCAGAATTTGCCCTCTTCTATAGTGATCCATAAACCGAGCCAAAAAATAGATTCCATGGGTGCTGAAAAACTTGCCGAAAGAAAAAGAAATCAAGATTCTAGTGAGACTGATACAAGTAATGAATGTAGTTATACTTTTAATCAATTATTAAACTCTTCTCAGATAGGCATACAAATGGCCGAGCAAACAGCAGAACGTGTAAAGTGTTTATTAAATCCTAATTACCAGTATTATATTATAGGTAGTTCGAGTAAAAATCAGATTTGTGGTCAAGTTATTTGACTTTGTTAATTTAATTTTCACCTATTTATAAATAAAAATAAAGAGTTATTTATAAAATGTTTATTTATTTATTACACATACAAGTTATTCAAATACAGACATTATAAGGGAGATCCATACCAGCCTTGAGACCCTTTTGGCAATGTCCTATTGTAGAAAGTTTACAAAAATATAAGAAAAAGATCCGGTTAGGCTGTTGTATAGATATAATCATTTCGGGTCAGATAAACGAAATAGATTATAATGAATTTTGGCCTGCATCATCACGAGCAGCATTATCGGTGAAAATTATTACCCAGTGTGAAACTTTCGAGAACAGTGAATAAATAAGTCGATATTGCATTTGCAGCACATTGTTCTTCCTCGGCTGCTACAGTTTTGACCACCACATCGTTTTTTTTACGTTCAGGAAAAGTGTTTCAATAATGATGCAGTCCATAATACCTTATATCATTATTGACTCAAAAATCACTTGCTGCAGCCCGAAGCATATTCTCCTGTAGCGCAAGGTGGTACTTTATATTTCCTCGGGTATGTCTGAAAATAAAAATAAGGTTAAAATTGTATGATTTCCCAAAAAATTGTTAATTCTACTCTACCTGTGATATATTTCCCATTCGAATAAACAATTTCTGCACTAGCACAAAAGTTGCCTAGTAGATAAGTCAAAACCACGTTCCTCATCTGCTGAATCTTAGTCAGTGAGCTCTTTGCTTTCTGTGTGGGCTCGATATATTATGCCATCAACATTTTCATTATCATAAGCAGTATTCAAAGCTTCCTGATGGCTAATTCCACAAACAAAATGTAAGTAAGTACCTAAAAATGTTAGCTTCTGCCCAGGCCCATATGCCATATGGGACAGTAATATTTACAAGAATATAATACATAAACAAACAATTTATGCTCGAATAGGAATATGTTATAATAATATGAGAAAACCCTAAAAACAATTAAATAGTATAGAATAAATTATCTCATAGTTATTATACTTACATAAAGAAATGTAAACAAAACGCCGCGTAATTCTCCTAGGGCTCCATTAAATCATACATGCTGAAAACGTGTAAATAGGCGGAATGACGAAAGCTAGCCAGATATCGCGCTTTACCCGCTATAATGGTTAATCAAAATCAAAATAAAATATTTTTCATGACAAATTATAAATTTATAAAACCGCTGGCGCAAACAGCTGGCGACTTTGTTATGACGTCAGCAGTGGTTGGAAACAGTTGAAAACCAATATGGCGGCAATTACCCAAAAAGGGGCCGATAAGCACTCCTTAGTAAGTTTATTCTCCTTGGGCCAACCTGCGATTTTAATGGAGCTGTGACAAGACGTGACTGCTCCAGTCGTGTCACTGTGACAAATAGCAGTGATTTTTTGGAGCAGTTTTCTCTTTGTCGGCCGTACTGCTAATATTATGTTAATGCTACATCGCAAAATGGCATAGTCGCAGTCCGCATTCACGGCTGAGAGAGATGCTCCACTTTCCAGCCTGCCCTCTGCAGTAGCAGTTTCCATTTGGCGTGACGATGCGATTTATAATATTATCATTTTATTTATATCACTTAGCTCGAGTTTTGTCCGCGCTGCATCGGTCGGAGCTCGAACGGGCAGTGACAAAATGTCACTGCTACTTGACTGGGACTGGAGCAGGTCGTGACTGTGACTGGAGCAGGTCGTGACTGTGACAGACAAGTAGCAGTGACAAAGTCACAGTTCATGAAATCGCAACCCACCTCTAGGGCGGTTCGGAGCAAGTTCTGGCCAACGGTTCTTGGTTCTAGGATGGGAACTTAAATTTTTGTTTTTAGAAAGTGGCCAAAAGATACAAAAACCAAAATTCATGTTTAATTTTAGTAACAAGTAAGTAATTAAATTGTTATAAATGATAGAAGTAAAGCGTGAAGTTGTAACGTTTAACAATCGAATACTACAGCTCTGGCAACATTCCTTGCGTTCGGTATTTTGCTCAAAGTACAGAGCGTGCTGAGCGGAGCCGTAATCACGGGACCAGCGAGCGAACAGAGCAGTTGAACGCTGTGTCCGAGTGCCTGAAATTTTAATAAACGAACGCAAATGAGCCTGCCGAGTACACTTTTCAAATAAACGAACGGTAAATTGAAGCTCGGAGAACTCAGATCAAAATACCGAACGCACGGATTGTAATGCAACTAGTATACTATCCGAGCAAGCCAAGCGGTTTTTGTCGTTTAATTATACATGTCTTTTACAAGGTGGTATTTATCTTTATAATAAAATAGTTCAACTTATCATATAATGCATAAAAAAACGTTCCAATTCAAACATAACTGATTCTTTAGTAAATTATTTAAATTTCCCTCTTCACCAGTTTTGACAGTGATATCCGGAATTTGAAATTCTTGCGACCAATCAAACGAGCGACGCCATCTTGGGATCGAAAGCGGGTTTGTGATTGGCCAAATCGAATACAGATGCGTCAGCTCATCAAATTAACCGTTTTTAAATGAAAGTTGTGGTTCCTAGGCTGTTATTTATTTTGTGTTAATAAAAAGTGAATTTTTTTATCGGAGATCGGGTGTAAATATATTAAATTTAGTGTAAACAATAATTTAAATATAAACGGAATCATGTCTGGTTCGAGTAACACCGAAGGCGACTTCAGACATGTAGAAAATGAAGATTTTAATTCCTCTGGTTGTGGAGAGGACATATCTTTTGAGTTGTCTGCGGATAAATCTTTCGATGAAAATAATATGGATACTGACGGCATGATCAGCCCTGGACCGTTGAGAAGATCCAATTATTCTAGGTAAGAATTATTTGTTTTAATTTGTTTGGGATCCTTTGTTTGGTATCGAAAATTTTGGGGCCACCTGTCGTAGGGCCATTGTGTTACATATTTGCAAGCTTTTGCATACGGCTAGTAGAAAATATCAGTTCTCATTGTGTTCTTGTGCATTTTACTCCTTAGGCCCCCTTAATACCACCTAGAATGGGTTTGAAATGTAGGAAGTAGTGAATTTGCTTTTTATGCAATAGTAATTGTGAAAATTACAAATTTTCGTCAAGTTTCTGGCACTGAAAAAGGGGGTCTATCTCATCCACAAGTGTATCGAGGTAACTTCTTTCAATCAAGTGACCATTAAAATTATTTTATCTTTTGAAAAAACATCTTTTCTCCATAAGTTTCACTTTAATCACTTTCTTGGCTTTTCAGGGCTAATAATAATATTGGTCATTCCTCATTCCTAAAGTATCAACAGTGACCTTGTTTCATAGTAGATGCGGTAATGACTCCCACTTTATGGACATTTGGCATTCACATACCAGTACCACTTGGTATTATTAGGGAGGGATATTATAGAAGGAACCGAGCAAGTGTCTAACATCATAATTACAAATTTTCAAGTTTTTCTTAAGTTTTCAATTATCACTATTACATTACGATAATTATTATTATGTTTTTCTGAGTCTTTTTGTAAGATGAAGAGAAGTTGAAGTTTCTTATATTGCATTTACTAAGTCAATCTTGTTCAATTAATATGGTTTTTTATAGTTTTCAATACTCATCACAGTTAATTTTAAGTAATTTTTATAAGAGCCTTCAGGAGTTATAAAGTTGATTTGTTTAACTTAGCTATACCTAAATAATGGTAGGTAGATTTAGTAGGTATCCTATTTTCGTATATTATTCTAAAAGCTTTTAAAATTTTCATTGAGATTGTGTTCTGCCTTCTTCAAGATCTTCGACATACTTACATTTTTCATTTTAGTGAGCATTTTACTGAAACATTTTTTCTGGAACCACTACTCGAAACTCTGGCCTCAAGATCAATTTATATAAACTATGCAGCGCTGGACTTTCTATTTAAATTCTAGATGTAATTTGACTTGTTTCACAAATTTACTATACCTAGTATTTTGATGAAGGATTTCGATGCCTATACAATTGGGTTTTTGATTCATATACTTATTGATTTTAAAAGTATTACAGTAGAACCCCAGTTATCCGAGGAAATGTGGGGTCACCCTGATCAGATAACTGAAAACTCGGATAATCCAGATTTGCGCAAAGTTATTTATTTATTTATTTATTTCACAAAGTAGAACTACATTCCTAATTCCCATAATGAGAAATTTTAGGCTCCTTGAATTTTTGCGAAAATGACTGTTCTGCTAGCTTTAACTTAAGCTAGCAGAACACGAGCAAAAAGTGGCTAAAACAACGAAAACTGCAATTCCACTTGCACAGACATTAAAGGCTCTGAAAATACACCAATCCCAAATTTCAGGCTCATTTACTTTTTTTTTTGTGAAAATGCAAAAAGCGTGATGCGTGAGTGGTGTCGGCCAAGCATAGCAGAAAAACCCCTCAGACGGTGAAAATCTGTGTTCCAATAATGCAGTCGTAGTGAATACATTAATGGCTAATTAAATGCTGTAATGAGAAATTTTAGGCTCCGCTAATTTTCGCGAAAATGGCTATTCTGCTGGCTTCAACCTAAGCCAGCAGAACATGAGCGAAAAATTGACCAAAACAACGAAATTCGCAATTTCACTTGCACGGACATTAAAGGCTCATTGAAGGCTCCAGAAATGCACCAATCGCAAATTTCAGGCTTAGTACATTTTTGATTTAGTGAGTTTGGAAAAGTCTGATTAAAATTGCAAAGTACCCAAACTAACCCAGGTTATTATCGGTAAGTTTGGAAATGTCTGAAATTCGCGATTAGTGTATTTCCGGAGCCTTTAATGAGCCTTGAATGTCTGTGCAAGTGGAATTGCAATTTCTGTGTGTGTTCCAATAGTGCAGTCGTAGTGAATACATTAAAGCCATTAAAGGCTAATTAAATGCTGTAATGATAAATTTTAGGCTCCACCAATTTTTGCGAAAATGGCTATTCTACTAGCTTTAACCTAAGCCAGTAGAACATGGGCGAAAAAGTGGCTAAAAAACGAAAATTTCAATTCCACTTGCACCGACATTAAAGGCTATGAAAAAACACCAATCGCGAATTTCAGGCTCAATTACTTTTTTGAAAAAATGCGAAAAATCGCGATATGTGAGTAATGTCGGCCGAGCATGGCGGAAAAACCTGTCAGACAGTGAAAATCAGTGTTCCGATAGTGCAGTCGTTGTGAATAAATCAAAGGCTAATTAAATGTTGTAATGAGAAGTTTTAGGCTCCGCCAATTTTCGCGAAAATGGCTATTCTGCTAGCTTTAACCTAAGCCAGCAAAACCTGAGCAAAAAAGTGGCTAAAACGACAGAAATTGCAATTCCACTTGCACAGACATTCAAGGCTCATTAAAGGGTCCGGAAATACACTAATCGCGAATTTCAGACATTTCCAAACTTACCGATAATAACCTGGGTTAGTTGGGCACTTTGCAATTTTAATCAGACTGTTCCAAACTCACTAAATTAAAAATGTACTGAGCTTGAAATTTGCGACTGGTGCATTTCTGGAGCCTTCAATGAGCCTTTAATGTCTGTGCAAGTGGAATTGCGAATTTCGTTGTTTTGGTCACTTTTTCGCTCATATTATATAGCCATTTTCGCGAAAATTAGCAGAGCCTGGAATTTCTCATTACAGCATTTAATTAGCCATTAATGTGTTCACTACGACTGCATTATTGGAACACAGATTTTCACCGTCTGAGGGGTTTTTCTGCTATGCTTGGCCGACATCACTCACGCATCGCGCTTTTTGCATTTTCACAAAAAAAAGTAAATGAGCCTGAAATTTGGGATTGGTGAATTTTCAGAGCCTTTAATGAGCCTTTAATGTCTGTGCAAGTGGAATTGCAGTTTTCGTTGTTTTAGCCACTTTTCGCTCGTGTTCTGCTAGCTTAAGTTAAAGCTAGCAGAACAGTCATTTTCGCGAAAATTCAAGGAGCCTAAAATTTCTCATTAGGGCATTTAATTAGCCTTTAATGAGCCTTTAATGTTCCATGTATTGATTTTCGATTCTGCTGACTTTGCTCTTGTAGCTTAAGAGACGTCCTAATTCCACTACATCTGTCCCCTTTCCTTTTCCCTTCCACTCTTATGTGATATAAAAATAAACATAAAACTGCTTATATGCTAAAAGAGTGGGAAGAGTCCAGAATATCCAAAAACATGAATAGGGAAAACCACTTACACAGGCCAAGAGGATTCCTTGTAGGCCACAACGATTATAAATGAACATATATTATGTGTGTACATTGTGTATATGTATATTTCAGAAGCTTGGTTAATAAGAAGCATATATGCATGTAGCTTGGATAATCAGGGTCTTTGGATCTTAGATCTTTAGATAATCATACTGTACTATGGAAGGTTTACAACGGAGTTATAAACTCACTGAGAAAAACACACAATTATTATTATTACCTGGACAGTTGATATACTGATTCATTCATTCTCATTCATTTTTTTTTCATATATAATAGAATACCACAAGAGAAAACATTTTCGACTGGTATGAAAGTTTGTTGCTTGGCAATTTCGCGAATGACATTTTTGACAAAACCACCGAAATTACCAAAAAGCGACAAACTTGAATAAAACCAAGAGAATAATTTTTCCTACAGCCGTGCGGGAAAATCGATTTTCCGCACTGATATGCGTGCGGAAAATGAGTTTTCCCGCACGGTGCGGTAAAACTTTTTTTTTTGACATATCAGTGCGGAAAAAGTTTTTCCGCACGGCGGTCAGTGCGGAAAAATTTTTACCGCACTGATATGTCAAAAAAAAAAAGAAAAATTTTACATTTTTTCGCCTGTAGGAAAAAATAAAAGCCCGAGACTGCAAAGCGGTCGAGGGCTTTTATTTAAAAGTTATTGTGCATGAAACTATTTGCCAAAAAGCAAAATTATGCAAAAAATATTTGGATAGTTTAATCCATTTAAATTTAAAGTTCGAGTGGGATACGGCTAGATTATTTCCTGAATAATTAGGATTGAATTATTGGCGTCAATCCTAATCAAAGAGTTCTATTTATTATAAAATGTCAGAATATTTCTATCAAAATTCTGTCAAAAAAGGTAAACAAAAATTTAATCGCTGATAAACAAGGTCTTGTGAAATAATCACTTATTTAAACAAAATTCATTCAAAAAATGACGTTGTCTGATTCGTCTATTATGTCATGAATGAAATAATCACAAAAAATTTCAGTTTCCTAAAGGATAACGCACACCTAATATGGGATTTTTGGGCTCTATGGATTTTCCCCATTTTTTCATATGTTGTAGAGGATTCAATTCTTAACAACCTTTGAATGGGACGAAATCTTGTAGATACTATGGTCTTCGAGATATGAGCGTTGAAAGATGAACTTCTTTGCGACTTTTTGTGTGGAGAGTATACGAAATACTGGTGCTACTGGTGTTTATCAGTCAAAATATTGACAGAACCACATATTTTACGTCACTAACAGATTAATGTCAACATAGGCTAAGGCCAGAACCGTGCTAGCGCCAACATTGGCGCCAGTGTGTAAGTGACGTAAAATAGGTGAACCTGTCAATATTTTGACCAGTATTTCGTATACTCTCCACACAAAAAGTCACAAAAAAGTTCATCTTTCAACGCTCATATCTCAGAAACCGTAATACCTAATAGATTTCGTCCCATTTAAAGGTTGTTAAGAATTGACCTTTTATTTGGACGCCATATTGCGGTTCGCGAACATAGTTGCCAAAAGAAGAAAACAAAAATTACTAGCGGGCTGTCAACATCAAAAACAAAAGTAACTAAATGATTGATCCTCGCTATCCTTTTTGTTTGTTTACCTTCTCTCTCTGATTGATGAAAGTAAATAGGTAGATATTCTATTATTTCTATTCTGCCCAATACAAGCTAAAATTGATGGCTTTTCTTTTCAAAAACATTCGTAATACGCGGCAAATTCAAATTTTAAATCTAATTTTTTCAGTAACTTTTGTTTTTAATGTTGACAGTACGCTAGTAATTTTTTTTTTCTACTTTTGGCAACTATGTTCGCGCCCCGCAATATGGCGTCCAAACAAAAGGTCAATTAAATCCTCTACAACATATCAAAAAATGGGCAAAATCCATAGAGCCCAAAAATCCCATGTTAGGTGTGCGTTATCCTTTAGGGCCAGTTTATTTATCTTCAGGTAAACTGTCAGGTATGCGATCTGGCGGATGAAAACGCAATCTGTAATCCCATGGGTTGGCCAGTTATCCGCCGACCAATAGAATTATAGAATGATACATTTTTCTTGCAGATAGTTACCAGCAAGTTTATTTGAAGATGAATAAACTGGGCCTTGTTGAAATTAATTTATTTCTAATACATATATCTATTAGATTATTTACTTATAAGTTGTGGTATTTGAAATTGTAGGCAAAAAAGCCTGGTGAAAAAAAGACTACTCCTTAGTATTTCACAAGACCTTTCTGCATCCAAACTAACCTTCACGTCCCAGTTCTGTGAAAAATCCTTGGAAAAATCATGTTTAGAAAACCTATACTTTACCTAATACAAAATCATTATTTTTCATTGCTCTTGCTCACTTCCAGAATCTGCAAAATTTGCTAATTGGTACTGTAGCACACCAAATAATGTTGGTTCAAGAATCAAATTAACCTAAAAATTTACCTATTTATCACACAACGATATTTTTTTCAGGTCTGAAACTTTCAGAACTCCCTTGCCTACAAAACTGTCTTTCAGTCCCCCCTATAAGCGTGTCAGAGCCCTAAGGCTCTTCGACAGCCCGCTGACACCTAAGACCATTCTTCAAAAATCTACCAGCGCCACAACACCTTTGCCTAGAAGCAGGCTTTTTGGTGACAAACCGAAAGCTGTGCCTAGTGCTTATGCTGAAAGAGAAAAACCCTCTGCTAATGTAAACCCATTTACACCTGACGGTAAGACTTGGATTTTCGAGTTGTCTCGAAGCAAGTTTATTTTATGTTTTACTTTTATAGGTCAAATGTTGTCCAAGAAGCGAACCAGATCATTGAGATCCTTGGATTCTCCCAAATTTAAACCACCCAAATTTGATTTGAATGATTCAGACGCATCAGATCAGGAAATTGAACAACCAACTAAACGAGTAGCTTTGCGGGTAAGAATAACAACTTTGTAGAAATTTCCAGTAAATTTATTTAAAAAAAAAAAATGTTTTGTAGGAGAGTAACATCCCAAGATACCACAGAGAGTTTCTAGAATTGAATTTAATAGGTAAAGGTCAGTTTGGGTCTGTTTTCAAATGTGTGAACAGATTGGACGGCTGTGTATATGCAATCAAAAAATCTACTAAACCTGTGGCAGGAAGTGCTTTTGAAAAAACAGCACTAAATGAAGTTTATGCTCATGCAGTTCTAGGTAAGAGTTTTCGCCGTTTTGTCCAATTTATTTGCAGCGTTCAATAACTAAAATGTAATTAAAAATTTCTGTCAGTCTGTGAAAATTAACTTATAGGGGGCAATAAGTATTGCTTCTTGTCATATTTATATAAATATGAAAAATATAAAACTGGCATTTTGTTCTCATGTTGCTGCATATTGATTTGATTGAGTTCATCAAAATTTCAAGCTCTTTCGATAATATAATTTTAACAAAATCCTTTTAGGCAAACATCAACACGTCGTCAGATATTACTCAGCCTGGGCTGAAGACAATCACATGATAATTCAGAATGAATACTGTAATGGAGGATCCCTAGCCGACAAAATTGCCAAAGAGCCTCTAAGTGCCACCGAACTAAGACGAATGCTTCAACATGTTGCAGAAGGACTCAGATACATACATTCAGAAGGTTTGGTTCACTTAGACATCAAACCAGGAAATATATTTATTTCTATTGAGAAAAAAGTGAATTTGACAAACTATGACTCAGCAGATGATGGTTTTGAAGACTTGGAGGAAAATCAGATGTACGAGGAAGAATTGACTTACAAAATCGGTGATTTGGGCCATGTAACAAGTCTTAGTAATCCACAGGTAATATTTTATTTGTGAATCCTATTGTTGAAATTATTAAAAATATGTAATTCATTTAGGTTGAAGAAGGTGACTGCAGATATCTCCCAAATGAAATCCTCCATGAAGACTACAGTCACTTGACCAAAGCAGATGTTTTCGCTGTTGGATTAAGTGCTTTGGAGTGCGCTGGTTCAGGTCCTTTGCCAAAAAACGGCCCCAAATGGCACGAGATTAGAGATGGACAAATACCACCTCTACCTCAGAAATTAACCAAGGATTTATTGGAACTAATCAAGTAAGATCCAGTAAAATAAATAATTTTCCAATGTATATTAATTCTTGATGTTTCTGCAGATCAATGATCCATCCCGATCCAACAAAAAGGCCTAGCACAATACAAATCTTGCAGCACAGGGCCTTGAATCCAGAATGTAGCAAGTCCAAGGCTGACCTGACCAGGGAGTTGAATGCTGAGAAGTTAAGGAATGAAATGTTGGTGAAACAGTTAAAAGTAAGTAAAACCTTCAATCCAGTATGATTATTGAACATTACATAGGGTACAGAATTTTCAAGTAGCTTTGCTATTTACGCAAATTTGTTCATCGGTAACCATTCCTTTCTCCATTGGTGTACTTGTCGGATTTACTGTGTCAAATTTAAATCACTTTAATATACGTTCAGTATATACTGACTGACATAAATATTCCACTTGGAATATTAGTTATTTCCATTCCAAGATAGGACAATTTCCCTTCAATAGATTTATCAAGAGTTATTTCAAATTTCTGCTTTAGTTTATTCAAGATTTTAATCATATCATTTTCAATACTTCCTGCAACAAGTGTATCATCAACAAATAAACTAAATATCATGCTTTTGTTATTATTATAATATACACAAGACAAGGATCATCATCAGTATTACTGAATCCAAGTGCCTTTGAAAATCTTGAAAACTTATCATTCCAGTTTCTAGGAGCTTGCTTGAGTCCATAAAGACTTCAATTAACAGACATGTCCAGTTTTGTCATCAAATCCTTCAGGTTGATACATAAAAATAACCTCCTTCGAATCTCCATGTAAAAAAGCTGGTTTTACATTGAATGTCATCAATTTCATTTTGTTCAAAGCTGCAAGACTAAGGGCCGATATTTCAATGTCACCTTAAGGTACAGAATAACGTTAAGTCATCTTTAATACAAGTTTCACCGTATATCAAAGTTCCCTTAATTCAAGGTGGATCTTAAGCCACCTGAATGAACTGATTTCAAGTTCACCTTAACGTTAAGGGTACCATAGGTAAGTCTTGATTTGAAAACATTGAAATACCGGCACTAAGTATCAATCCAACTGACACATGACGAGCTACGGGTCTATGTTTCTGAATAATCAATTCCTTTGATTTCTTTCCGATTTTTTAGTTTTAGATTTTGATGCGCTTGTGCCGTTTTCGTCTAAATTTTTAACATGACAGACCGAGCTGACTCCACATTAGTACTTATTTCTCTTTCAATTCGCCCATTCTGTTCAGGACTATAAGCATTAGTTTTTGAGTGGATAACTTCAAGTTTGTCAAATAAACTTTTTGTATCCGCATTCTTTCTCTGTTTCATTGTCTGACCTCAAACACTTTATTTTTCTTTCGAATTGATTTTAAGTCATCTTCATTTAAACATTCAATTTGGAAACAGCTTCATCTTTAGTTTCGAGGAAATATACTGTTCGAAAATGTGAGAAGTCATCCTTAAATAAAAGAAAATATTTGGCTCCTCTTAGAGATCTGACATGCATTTTACATAAGTCGACATGTACTAAATCTGAAGGTTTCTCAGCAATTTTGGGGTTTTTAAGTGACTAATTCTATGTTGCTTCCCATAAACATATCCTGGACATATATAATCATTCCAGTCATCAACATAATTTATTCCATTTCTTTTCAAGATATCCCTGTCACTTGATATTTTGATGAGCTAGTCTTTTATGCCAAATTTAAATAGAAACATTCTATACAAATTTCCGTCCCTTTCACCAATTGCTACAATATCATCATCATCTGGATTTTTAAGAATAGATTTTTCTGCATCTAAAATTTGAGTAACAGAAAAAAGATTGAAAATCATCTTTGGAACATACAAGACATTCTTCAATATTACTTGATACCAATCAGTCCATTAAAAGCTTTGAGTTCCACTTCACCAATTCCTCTTCCTTCCTATTGAGTAGAATCTCCAATAATAATCATGGTAGGTACTTCAAGTTCAATAATTTTTGTTTACCGGTTCATGCAAGAAGTCATATGTTGTGTGGTAGCACAATCTTGATACCACAAATCATTACAATTCAGTTCAGAGTTTATGTGTTTCATATTTGCAGAACACAGATCAACGGTGATAAATGCGCGACGATTTGAATTTTCATTTTTCTGACTACTTGCTCTATTAGCTGACTTTTCAGACGAATTTATTTTGGTACACTCCTTAGCAAAATGACCTTTCTGACTATAATTATTACAGGCATAATTTTCTTTACAATATGTTAAATATTTGGCTTATGGTGCATTTTTACAAAATTTCTTAGCATGACCATATTTGAAACATTGACACTTGAATTTCCTTGAGAACTTGCTCCAACATGTGACTTTCCAAAGTTGTGATTATTATGTGAAACAGAAGCATTTGAAGACACCAACTGTTTTTGATTTACTTGCTGACTTTCTTTCAATCTGTCTTCTTCTAACCTCAGACGTTCAAATAGTTTGTTCAAATTTTTATCTGGCCCACTAACATTATCCCACGTAGTTCTAAAATGATGCAATTTGAGTGGCAACATTCCCAAAATTCTAGTCATAATCCAACTTCCTTTGACTTGTTCTCCTTCGGCCTCCAAATCTTCAGCAAATTGTTGAAGTGCCATACAATTTTGAATTACAGACTTGCTTAAATCATACTTAAAGTTAAAAAACTGTTTTTGCAAACCTTTAATGGTAAGTTCTGACTTCTTGCCATACAAAGTTTCCAGTCGATTCAGCATTTGATGAGATAAATTACAATTTGCAATTTTGATTGCTATATTACTGCCTATGTTCAAGCCAATTAAGGCTTGTGCTTCAAGATATTGCCTAATCCAAGCCTTCACTACATTGTCACTGTCTAATCCATGTGGCTTTAATTCAATACCTGTTGCTACCAAAAATAAACCTTCCTATTTCAAAGTTAAATTCAACTTAGATTTTTAAGAAGCATAGTTTACGTATCCTTGTGAATCTTCAGATAAAATTTCTAAATGTCATTTAATCGAATCCATGATTTTCAACAAAATTACCTGTACCTTACAATATTCAATTGATTATTATGGCAAAGTATTACAATCTCATAAAAAATTGTCTTAATAAGTAATGATGAATTCAAATATCTATGAATTTTCCTCAATCAAACAAAGCACACAATTATTGTAACTGACATATAACTGACAAGACTTTCAACGCACACTAAATACCTGACTTTCTGATTGTTTTACTGACTTCCTGACTTGTTTGCTGACTTCCTGACTTGTTTGCTGACTGCCTGACTTGTTTACCGACTTCCTGACTTGTTTACTGATTTCCTGACTTGCTTACTAACTTCCTGACTTGATTACTGACTTCCTACAATCAGCAATGTCTTACTTAGCCGCCCTGGGCCCATAACCTGATGATAATAAATTCAATGCAGTAAATGTAAGTTTGTGGATGATTCAGTTTCTCGTTGACAAACAAATGATTGTTCCTGTCTGGTTCGCAATATTTATTAATGGTGAAAAATAATGTTCACATAGACTTAAATGTAGTATATAACCAATTGAAGGTAGAAATAAGGTGCCTTTTCTAAATCCTCACGTTCACATTACTAGATACTAATTAATATTACATACAAGATTAACTAGTCAGGACAAAGTGTGGTAGCTTATTGACACAGACGATATTACTACAGACAAAAAACTACTGCAGAATGACCACAGAACAGAATGACAAGTTGACAAAAGTATAGTATGACATATCCTACCTTATGTTACCTGGCTAATTATTTAAATAAAATCTGTTTTTATTTTTAAAGATAAAAGTCAAAATGACATTATGTTGGCAATACAATGTAAAATTGTCAATGCTTTCAAATTTTTTATGTAGAAAAGGCTTGTGTTGCTAACATAGTTACTAAATTTTTGACTTGGGGAATTATCTTTAAAAAAAAAAAGGACTTTAGTTCCACATTTTGAAGACGTAAAATATTTTCTTTCAAGTGAAAAATATACAGTCAAAGTTATCATAACCATTCTCTGAACGATCAGCTCATTGATTTTTTGTTTCTCGGTTTTTATGTTAATACATAATTATTATATTCCTATTTACGATGACAATTTCCAATGTTTCAATAAAGTTTCTGTCACATGTTTTGGAGCCAAATGCCTCACAAAATCTCAATAAAGCATGTTGCACATACTACATCAGGTCTTTATTTGTTCTCACACCAAAGTTTACTGATCAGCGCATAACATTATTTTTTAATCTTTTTCAGGAAGCTGCAATATGCATAAAGACGATCCAGAAAAATAGCAGACTAATCGGGAAAAATGTGAATCGAAGCGCAAGCACGACCACATTTTAATCTTTTTTTTTAAGGTAGCAGGTACACAATTTAATATTTTTGTATTTTATTTTAGTTTACAGTATTTTTTTTTACAGTTACACAAGCCAAAATACATTTTTTAGGCGACTGTCACAAAAAGATTAGTTTTACGGTTTCAATATCATCCCTAAAGTATATCTTTTTTGGCCGCATTTACTTTACGGCCGCATTTACTTCACAGCCGCATTTGCTCTATCACTTTACGGCCGCTTTTACTTTACGGCCGCATTTACTTTACGGCCGCTTTTACTTTACGGCCGCTACTTTGGTGAAAATATACATATAGACAGACAATCGAAAACGCGGTGCTGTAACCATCAACACAACCAATAAACAATTAGTTAGCAACCACAATGAAACCAAATTTTTGATTTTAGCCCTATCCTATTACTTTTTTAAAAAAGCACAATGTAGGATACCAGGCGAAAAAGTCGGCAATTTTCTATAATCACACTTCCTTTATCGTAGTTTTTGTTACTAATAATTATGTATTTACCTATCTTTGCTGGATTTTTTATCTAATCAATAAAAGTTTAAAGCTACTGTTGAATTTTCATCTTTTTTCCAGAACAAACACTCGCCTAAAAAATTTTGTGTGCACCTCGGCCGAATGATCTTTTTTGGCCTCACCTGAAATTTGCTTGGCCTCGGCTACGCCTCGGCCGCAAACTTCTGATTCGGCCAAAAAAGATCAACTTTACGGCCTTGGTACACAATAGTTATTTGTGTACCAAGGCCGTAAAGTTGATCTTTTTCGGCCGAGGTGCACACAAAATTTTTTAGGCGAATGTTTGTTCTGGAAAAAAGATGAAAATTCAACAGTAGCTTTAAACTTTTATTGATTAGATAAAAAATCCAGCAAAGATAGGTAAATACATAATTATTAGTAACAAAAACTACGATAAAGGAAGTGTGATTATAGAAAATTGCCGACTTTTTCGCCTGGTATCCTACATTGTGCTTTTTTAAAAAAGTAATAGGATAGGGCTAAAATCAAAAATTTGGTTCCATTGTGGTTGCTAACTAATTGTTTATTGGTTGTGTTGATGGTTACGGCACCGCGTTTTCGATTGTCTGTCTATATGTATATTTTCACCAAAGTAGCGGCCGTAAAGTAAAAGCGGCCGTAAAGTGATAGAGCAAATGCGGCCGTGAAGTAAATGCGGCCGTAAAGTAAATGCGGCCAAAAAAGATATACTTTGGGGATGATATTGAATCCGTAAAACTAATCTTTTTGTGACAGTCGCCTAAAAATAACTATTTTGTTTATGCTTGTATAACTGGCAGTATACTTTTTCATTTCTTTTATATGCATTATTTTGCACGTCAGTATTCATCTTAGTTTTTTTTTTTGTTCGCTTTGTACATTTTAGTTTTGGAATAAATGTACCAAAGCAGCTTGTTTTAAGAATTATTTTTTTATTTGTTAGCTTTAAGTTTATTAGATTGGTACCTCAATCCCACTTAATCCCCTAAGTTTGATAATGTTTGTAAGTTTTTTAAAACATTGTCAACGTTACTAGTTTCCCAAGGCAATATGCATGTATACTTCCTTTTTGAATATGAAATATTTTTTATTATAATACATATTTAGATTAACATACATATTATATATTTTTTTTATATTATCTTGTGTTTTTGAACAAAATTTTGTTTTGGGCGTTTTCCCATGTCTAATATACCTTATTCTTATGAAATAAATGTTTTTCTCCTTTTCAGTTGACAATTTTGTGATAATCAAAGTGAAGATAGAATAAAACATGTTTTCTTAGATTTAATATTAATCATTTACTTATATTAATAATTATGGCTGTATGAGAATTTTTGCATACGTTTTTTAGTGTTATTTAGGCAGTTTTATATAGATCTTATTTTTGAGTTTTGGGTGGTTAGGAGATAGGTATAGATACTACCAGCGTTTCTGCTCAAAATTTCAAAGTTTTACTTCTTGAAACACATGGTAGATATATTTTCTATTTCTTCTTCTGAACCCTGGCTCAACATGTTTAAGGTCGATCAATAAAAATTCCACCTGTTAAGAAATATTACTTTTGATTTTTTTGGAATGTATGTGATAAAACATTATATTTTTTAAGTTAAATTACATTAGTTTTTTATTATTTAGTTTTTGTAACGACTTTGCTAAGGTTATTTGGCTTAACATTTGTTTTATACATTCCCTTTACACTTATTTTTAATCATACAAGTGCCTTTTCTACTTATACTATTAATATTTTAGATGTTGTACGTTAACTATTATTTTTGTCCAAACCAAATATATTTTAGATTAATATTTTGTGTTTTATTTGGCCTTATTTTAGGCTTCGTTCAGAACTGAACATTGTGACCTGTGAGCCTTCTGCAGGTCTCGAGCAAAGTACTGGATAGAGTTGTATTTTGTTACCAAGATAAATTTGTATATTCTTTGTGTATATAGACCTCCAAGCGGAACCATTAAAGAGTTTCGGGACAAACTGAAAATTCTTTTATCGGACTTGCCAGTAAATGCTAAAATTTTAGTGGCCGGTGCCTTCAATATCAATTACAAGGATTCTGAGTCAATGTGCAATCTGAAGGACTTGCTAATTTCTTTTAATTTGCAGATTTCTTTTAATTTGCAGCCCACCCTTATCTCAAAATATTTCAGTACCACTATTGATTATCTTTGTTCAAATTTGTCTGACATATTTGGGGCTGAACTATTGTGATGTCCTCGGGTCTCTCTGACCATGAGGCTATAATTTCATCTTTTTATGAAAAAAAAAAAAAATCAAAAACCCTTAGATATGGGATAATTTATAGTACTAAAAACTTTGACATTTTAGGGAACAGGCTGCGGAAATAAATGGACATGGGTTATTGTGGTTAAAAAATTCATCATCCAATACATACTGATATTGATGAAATGTGTGGTATCCTTAGAAAGGAAAAAATAAAAATTCCCCCGGCATAGAGATGACCTTACACTCAGAGTGTTTGCGGTTTGCGGCTTTGCCCCAAAAGACTGGAGATTATGGTATAAATCAATCTTTTGACGATGGTTGTTTTCCTTCTAGTCTCAAGACCGCTGTTGTTCCGCTGTTTTAGGGTAGTGATCCGAAAAACTCTGCCGATATTTGTCGAATTCCAAATGTTACCTACGCTTTCAAAAATCATTGAGAATCTTGCAAAGAAAAGAATGGTAGCCTTCTCGTAGCCTTCATGTCTATCGTCACAAAGTTTGGATTTCAAGCCTCTAAAGGGTACTATATTAATGCGATGTTCAGGCTTTCAGAGAGTGTGTACGTCGGTCTAGTGTAAATGGAGGAAGTATGGCCGCAGCGGTTTGTTCTGAGGATGGTAGCCCAGATGAACTGTCAATGCGACACGGTGTTCCCCAGGGTTCGGTTCTTGGCCCAATTTTTTTTTTTCTATTGTACTTTAACTTGAATGACTTAGCTAGACTAGATATTCGAGGCGGTTTTACCATTTTTACAGATAATACCCCCATCTTGTGGCTTGATGAAGATGCTATAAGTTTATTGAAAGATATTATTATTGAAGACCTCATGTGAAGGAGAGGTACCTATGTCACAAATTTACTTTGTTACAATTTGAATAAAACTAGTGTTATTTCTTTTAAGTTTGTTTTGGATGTTCTGAATGTGGACTATTATTTTGTGGCAAATAAGGCCAGCTGTAGGTTTCTGGGCTTGCACATTGACTCGGATTTAAAATGTAAAGTCAATTCATTATCTTGTGTCTTAACAAGAAATTGGCATCTGGGGTATAATGTTTTTTCATGCGTTATCATAAATAAGTCTAACCTAAATTGAAAAAGAACTAGATTTGATTCTTTTTTGAATTAAATAAGCTATTGACAGATTCTGAAAGCTGTCAAAATGTGACGTGCATGAACTTTGTTCAATGTTTTATTACCAATAAACTACCATAAAACGAGAAAAAACCAGATTAGAGTATTTTTTTCTACTAAAACAAATGAAAGGTTTTGACAGTTCTGTCATTTTTTTTTTTTAATTTTTGAATTCAGAATTTGCATACAAGTTAAAAATGTCAAATGACATCATAAAATATTGAAAACTGGAAAAGATGAGTGCTGCCGTTTAGCAGGGTTTTGACAGGTGTCAAAATGATTGACATTTTTCGACTTAACTCGGTCGACTTAGTAGAAATAGATTTTTTGTTCATCAAAATCTGTCATAGTTACTCTGCTTTTGGATATAAGATTCCAATATTTGACAGCTAACCACGCCTCACCTGTCATATATACAGGGTTGTGCCCAAGGTAAAAAATGTTGCTTACGGCATCCCCAATAACATATTTAAATTTCATCCAAATATCACGGGTAACCAATTTCCATTTAAATATTGCGGGGTCCTTTGGAGTCAAAGAAATTAAGTATTTGGGATATATTTTAGTGAAGGTGAGTTGAACCCAGATCCAGCAAAAACTGAAGCTTTCAGAAATAGGTATGCCAGCACCCCATGATATCAACACTCTACGTACGTTCCTATCTTGAAGAGCTATTATGGTAAATTTATCAAAGATGAAATACAGGTGTTACGTCAATCACTAAACGAATTATTAAAAAAAAGGAAGATTTGTATAATGCTTTAATAGTCTAAGAGCCCGTGACACAAAAGCCTCAGTCATCTGTTAGAATTAAGGCTGTTTTTTAGTGGCCCGGTATGCCAAGTCCTCGGTCAACTAAAAAACGTAATGGTTGGCGGGTTTCGGTGTGCAGAAGCTGAGGAGTGGATGAATTTTCACTACCCCAAAATAAGGCTTTCTACCTTATTAGTCAGAAGCTTTTTTTTTGTTGTGAATAAATAATATGGACCTACTGAGACCTGAACAGAAACGGTTGGCGGGCCTTCCCCCTCTCTTCACCATGCCGACCGCGTTTTAAGTGAGATTTCCTAGGGAAGTTCCTACCTCACAAGTCAGAAGGAGGAAAAAAGGTGGAAATTATACATTTCCACTTCCTCGTCCGTTGGCAGCCGGTTGGCGCTCTACTGTAATCGTAAGTGCCATTAGTAGCGATCCATTCTTGGAAGTATTAAACGGATGCCTATTGCCTATTAGCAGGTAGTTTCCCGGATATATGGAAAAAGGCTAGGTTGGAGCGTATTAGTCTAAGAGCCCGTGACACAAAAGCCTCAGTCATCTGTTAGAAGGCCGCTTTTTGGTGGCCCGGTATGCCAAGTCCTCGGTCAACTAAAAAACGTAATGGTTGGCGGGATTCGGTGTGCAGAAGCTGAGGGGTGGATGAATTTTCACTACCCCAAAATAAGGGTTTCTGCCTTATGAGTCAGAAGCTTTTTTTTGTTGTGAATGAATAATATGGACCTACTGAGGCCTGAACAGTAACGGTTGGCGGGCCTTCCCCCTCTCTTCACCATGCCCACCGCGTTTTAAGTAAGATTCCCAAGGGAAGTTCCTACCTTACAAGTCAGAAGGACGAAAAAAAATGGAAATTATACACTTCCACTTTCTCGTCCGTTCTGCGCTGGGTTGGCAGCCGGTTGGCGCTCTATTGTTTATTTAAACATATGTTTTTGCGAAATTGAAGTTGTTTTTCCCCTCGCTATAATTTGAACACATATAGTGGAGGTTTTTTCAAATCAAATAAATCAAACACACTTTTCAATTTAACTGCTAAATATTTTGGGAAATTGGAGAAAAAAAAAAAAAAAAACATTAGAATTGCCTCAAATTGGACATAAACATATACTTCCAGGGGCGGATACAGGAAGGGGGCGCGCGCCTTCCTGAGAGTCTGAAAATATACTTATTCACAAAAATTTTCCAAGAATTTTCCAAAAAAATTTATCTATATAAAAAATTCCCAAAAAGAATGTTATAGAACATTTTTCGAAGCTGACACCATTGTTCAATTTTTCGTTTTGTTCTCATCAGATAAATTTGTATTGCGTATTTTTATTTTGAATAGGTGTTTTTATTATTTTCCGTTTTTCGATATTATGTACTTACTGAGTACGGGGTGGTCCAATTTGATATACCACCAACCGTTTTGTCGCTAGAGGGCGTTTCTCGATTTTGAACAAAACTGTGAAAGCTTTATAACTTTTTTAAGTACGTCATTGGATTCTGCCTGAAAAAGTACTTCTACAAATTTTATACCTTCATAAATCAATTATTTTCATAAATAAAAATAATAATATTTGTGCAGTTCACGCCCAGTAGAAGTCAAACCTTCAATAAACTAAGCTGAGAGAGAATGAAATACACAAACTAGATACAACGCTTGGTAGACAATAGTGGGGAGGCTACGAAGCACCGTACAAAAAGGAGACGAAGAATGGGGAACAGTATTCCATCTTATTCTCTAGCTGCTTAAATCCCATTATAGATCTATATGTTTGTCTCTTTCCAGAGTCGCTTTTTCGTTTTATCGAGTCTCAAATCACTCCCAACGATTCTGAAGAAGTTTTCACTTGAAAAGTGATAAGGTTTCACAGTATTGCTCAAAATCCAGAAACATCCTCTATAATGAAATTTGATCCTCAGTGGGGGGGGGGGGTCATTTTTTTTTTATCTGCTCTCAGAAATTTACGTTTCTTATCAAAAGTGTCCAAATTAGAACACCCTGCACATTCTCACAACGTATAAGTAAAGTAAAAATAAATGTTTAAAAAATTATTTTTCATAATTCATAACCTCTGCGCCCTCCCTGACCAAAGTATGGGTATAGTAGATAATCAATCAAAGAATTCTGCCGAGGTTTATGCCAAATTTGAGCCACTCTGATGTGGGTTTATTTAAGCCATTCTGATGTTTTTTTTCTCCTTGCAGAAAAAAATTATGTATGTAACCTGCGGATGAAATCGCCTTTATCAGTTGATAAATGTGTGTATTATTTTTTTTTATCCATGTAAAATTTATAAAAACCCCCACTAATTCTTAAGATTATAGCGAGGGAAAATACAACTTCAATTTCGGAAAAACAGATGTTTAAATAAACAATAGCGCGCCAACCGGCTGCCAACCCAGCGCAGAACGGACGAGGAAGTGGAAATGTATACTTTCCACTTTTTTTCGTCCTTCTGACTTGTGAGGTAGGAACTTCCCTTGGGAATGTCACTTGAAACGCGGTGGGCATGGTGAAGAGAGGGGGAAGGTCCGCCAACCATTCCTGTTCAGGCCTCAGTAGGTCCATATTATTTATTCACAACAAAAAAAAAGCTTCTAACTCATAAGGTAGAAAGCCTTATTTTGGGGTAGTGAAAATTCATCCACTCCTCAGCTTCTGCACACCGAAACCCGCCAACCATTACGTTTTTTAGTTGACCGAGGACTTGGCATACCGGGCCACCAAAAAACGGCCTTCTAACAGATGACTGAGGTTTTTGTGTCACGGGCTCTCGTAGTATAATATTTGCTGTCACAAAATTTCACAGTGCAAAATGAAGTTTTAGAAAATTTTACAATTAGGTAGGTACCTACTTTTAAGATGATTTATCAAGAAACTCAACAGGACAAAATTTATTCTAAAGTTATTCAATATGTACAGAATGATTGGCCAACAAACAAAAAGGATGGGTATTGAAAATTATGCACTTAATTTTTACTATAGACGAGACCCATTATTCGCTGTTAAAGGTAGTCTAATGTTTGGAGACAGAATAGTCATGCCATTGAAATTTCGAAATTCTCTTCTATAATCACTACATAGGTAGGTACTGGTCATCCTGGATAAGAAAGAATGAAATCCATAGCACGTGCCACGTGGATATGTTTACTGACCAAATATAGACAGGGATATTATCAATTTTGTGCGAAAATGAGAAGAATGTGCAGAAGTTTCAGAAGTCCATCAAACAGCCAAACACAAGTAGAAATTTGAGAAGATGACTGTCACAGTCACAAAATCCAGTTTTCTATTGAATTTGTTTGTTCTTATCTGAAAACCTCCTCAAGTAACTCTTTCCGCCATTGTCTTATTGTTGCTTTACAAAAAAACGATACTTATGAATATATTTATTTAATAAATAAATAATGAACATTGTCTATAAAAGCGTCCGCTATTTGCCTGAACTCATTAATTAGACACTGGATCCAAGAGTCTCTTATCTTCCAGACCTGGGCAATTAGGTCCTAATACACTTTGGATCATTTCAATACTAGTATTCCACAAGATTCTTGCCATTTCGTCATCTTGGGCTGTGCTACTCTCTTGACAGGGACAGCAGTTATTAAAATAGACACCTAGAAACATTTTCAAAGAATATGTGAAATATAATTTACATATTATTTTCATACCTGTTACTCCTAGTAAATCAGGAGCTGTAGCACAATAAATTGTAGTAGAGGCTGCTTGTTGTAAACTTTTTGTAAATGGTCGTACTAAGAAAAACAACATTCTATAGAGCCACCAATTTCTGCTTAATCCTGTCGAAACCAAATTTCCAGGATGAAGACTGGAAAATAAGACAAATTTGAAAACAGAAATCAAACATTCAATAAATCCTACCTGAAAACAGAAATACCTCTCTTTTGGAGATTTTTCGCTAATTGTCTTCCAAATAAAACATTGCACAATTTTGAATTGTTATAAGCTGTTTGATGCCAATAGTGACGCCATGTTTCTGGTGATAGTGACAATGGACTTAGATTTTCTAGAGTTAGATTGGCAAAACTAAAAAAAACTGAAATTATTATTATTTATAATTAATTGGTAGTTTTCCTGACCGTCAAGTTTAGAAAATAGTTTTCTTCTTTCCTGGGATTCGGTCGTGCATTTAAACAAATTATTTCTGTGACGTTTCGGTATTTTTATTACCATCTTCAGACATACAATTCTGCCTTTTAATTTTCCATTTAGTTAATTTTTATTTTTTTCCCTTCTTTCTTTTTTTTTCCCATTCTTATTCAAAATTCAGTGAGAGTGCTGCTTTGAACTTTGAATAAGAATGGGAAAAAAAAGAAAGAAGGGGAAAAAAATAAAAATTAACTAAATGGAAAATCAAAAAGCAGAATTGTCTGTCTGAAGATGGTAATATAAATACCGAAACGTCACAGAAATAATTTGTTTTAATGCACGACCGAATCCCAGGAAAGCAGAAAACTATTATTATTATTTATAGAAGCTTTAAAGTGGTCGTTACCGATGGGACTCTGACGAAACTACAACCACCCTTGATCCTTGAACTAACAAAGAATCTAGAAGCAAAGTTAAGTAAAAATGTGACAGATGGTTCACTTGAAACGACATTTCTAAACCATCCAAAGTTTTGGTAAATCCCATACCAAATATAGCGGCGTTTAAAATTAGCATATCAACTTGTTGGTATCTACTCTTGATGGTGTTTGCAAAATGAATCACTAAAATAGACCTTTGAAAATACTGGAAATCAAAATCAGAAGCTTTACCAGTAGCAAACGAAGTCAAATCCAAATGAATGGCAATACAATTATCAGCAATATTCAGCCTTTCTTCAGTTCGGATTTTTTCAATAGCGGCTTCGGCTGCTTCTAAATTTCTGCAAGCAAACACCACCGTACAGCCGTGCTTTGCTAATGATCGTGCTGTTTCTAAACCTATACCCGAGTTTGCTCCTGTGACTATTGCTACTTTGCCTGATAAATCACGGCCAATAAGTACCTGAAAATATTTGTTTGGAGGTAATACGCTGGTTTATTTTAGGTTCCTACCCCTAATGCTGTACTTGATGCATCAAATCTCTGTCTAAAATCATTTACATGATCTTTTTCTTCAATTGCAAAAGCCAATCTAGGGTCTGTATAAGTGGTGCTTTCATCTTCATGATTTACGTAGACTACTTCGCCAGCTGGAGAAACCATTCTAAGCATAAAGCATGATTCATAAGTAAATTGAAGAAATAACAAAGGTTTATATAAAATACAGACCTTTCCCAACCAAAAGGTAAATTTCCAGCTACCTTTTTCTTCCTTCCAGTTCTCGGATGAGTCCACTGAGTGTTTTTTGTTAGGTGGTTGGCATAGTAGACAGAGCCATCAACTGTAACCTGATAAAAATGGAGAAATTTATGCATGAACAATAGTTTAACAATTTGGAAACCAACACCAACACAGGCAGACATTTTTTTTTTAAAACCTGGTCGAGGGGCAAATCGCTAGTCAAATTTGTACAGGGAAATTCCAAAAATTGCCACTAATTCCAAAAAATGCTAACTAATTCCAAAAATTGCCAACTAATTCCACCAAAAAATTCCACGAAAAGTATGTTGTAGTACTAGCAAAAATAAGCATTTACACGAAATCTCTAATTATACAGGGTGACCCAGTAAAGTGAGTCTGAAAATCATAAAACAAAGGCTTTTGAATATCGATGTTGGCGCGCCCTGCAAGCTACATATCGGGATTCTTGTTTTCGATTTCGCAAATAAATAGTCTAGATAAGCATAATATACTATACAGGGTGGCCAAGCTTGCGTATTCTTCTAGAAACCCCTGCCCTATTCTTAGAAATTGTTACCAAAAAGGTCATGCTGGCTTTTATTTGCCTGTAACAATAGTTTTTGTCCGATTTAAAAAAATGTGGTTTTAAAATATATATATTTTTTTTTTATTTATTCAATATACGGGTTCACCCCCCTATTACAAAACATTACCACTCACCCATCTCAAAATTGTGAGTATTTACTAGTCTAGAGAATCTAGATAAAAGGCTGTTATATGTATAATTGCTAGAATGATATGAAATTTGATACAAATTGGTACTACGAGTGTTCCGTGAAGGAGCCCTGAAGCATATCTGTTCGAGTAGATCCGGGCCTTAGACCGTCTATATCACCAGACACCAACATGAAAATGGTACAAAGGTCACAAGAAATTCGATCAGACTTGAGACTATCAATAGACAGGACGTTTCGCATATCTTCATATGTCCATTGATCTCAAGGAATTTGTAGTCTCAAAGACATTTTTGGCTGTCGAAAATAACTCCCAAATCAGATATTTTGTCTACTCTTTCAGATGAATTATCAATAGTAATATAACTAGTGCAATGGGAATTATTGATAATTTTTGGGAAATTTGCCCGAATGCATTTTTAGTTGAAAAAGAGCACGAGTGCACGTACTGCACGAGTGCCTTTTTCAGTTAAAAACGCATGAGTGCAAATTTGTCAAAAATTATAAATATATTTCCATTGCACGAGTTGTATTTAATGAGAGAATTTCATAAATCAAAAATTTAAATTTTTTGTCAAAAAATGTCAAAACACCAGTTTTCGCACCAGTTAGTATGCAATTATCTGATAATTTGCACTAGTGCAAATTATCGCGTAATTACAATCTGATTGGTTCAAATCAACAATCAAAACATGTCAATTTATTGTTGGAATACCAGTTTTGACAGATGAATGAAATTCTCTATATTATAATTGAAAAGTATTGGACTTTTACTTCTGGTGAATGTTATACAGTGACATTTATCAATGTTTAGCAACATGTCATTACTCTTGGACCACCCATTAAGCATAAGTCGTGGAGATTAAAACAGTCACCAACATTATTTAACTCTGAGTATATTTTGAGATCATCAGCAAAAAATAAAGGCTTACAGAAAGTAAAGCATTAAATTGAGTCCATTATGAATAGTACAAAAAGTAATGGGCCCAAATGAGACCCTTGAGACACACCTGACGTAGCTGAAATTTCTCGTGAACAGAAATTATGAATTTTTACTAGTTGCACTCGTCCTGACAAATAACTTTTAAGCCATTCTAATAAGTATGTAGAAAACCCCATTGCCTTCAGCTTTGCCAGTAAAAATGAGTGGTCAACAAGATCAAAAGCCTTACTATAATCTGTATATATTAAGTCTATTTGTGACAAGTTACCCAATGATGAAAGAATGTCTTGCTCGTAGACCAAAAGGTTACTCTCAGTAGATCTTTGGAGTACAAATCCATGCTGAGATGGATCAATAATACTCCTACAATGCCACTGTCTGTAGATAGGTTATTCGGTACTTTTCAAAAAGTTTAGGAACCGTCGACAAAATAGTTATTGGCCGATAATTCTTAATATCATGTCTGTGCCCAGTCTTAAATATTGGCAAAACGTAGCTAGTCAACCAAACTACTGGAAGCTCGACTGAAAACTTGTGTTCTAATAATGACCTATTAAACAAAAAATGCAGAGGCTTAGCAAGGGAATAAACAAATTTTCTTAAGAAGAAAGGTGGTAGCTTCGTAGCTTGTCCTGGCCTGAGCTGAGTTTGTTAGGCAATGATTGTATTCCAACGAACACCTCTTGCAAACTAAATTTTATTTGCCCGATATTCACAACTTCAGTTATATTAGTATCATTAATACTCGCATTAATATTAAAATCAGTGTTAGAGTTATCACTATAACAGTTTGAAAAATGAGTAGCAAAAAGATTTGAAATATCAGAACCATTCGAAACTGTCGGTATTTATATTGTTCTAAGTTGCAGATAACTGTTTCTTTGCATCAATTTTTTTAGAGCAAACTTTAGAGATGGGCGAGCAGATGAGCAAACACTCGAGCAAACATATGATTATGAGCATAATTTTTTTTTCTTGAAAATGAATCAAGATAGGTACATAAGTAAATAAGAAGTTGTTTTTAGTTGCATTTCCTTAAAAAGTTAGTATCTACTTTTGTTTGACATTCCAGCCTGAATCAAGTAGAGTCCAGTAAAATTACTAGGACTCAGTACCTGATGTAGAAGTAAGTCCATTCTCTGCACCAAACTAAGCAACTACATAATGGTGTGTTTTACTAATACAGTATGAAATAAAGAAACGTTTACACCAGGTCTTATGGAAAATAGGAATTTAAATGTATCATAAAAGCAATCTTGTTCTTGTGGAATTGAATTGAATTTAATAGAGTATTTCATCAGGGATTCTATGGCATATAAAGCAAACAAAAGAAACTATGTGCTGTTAGAAGTACACAAAGTACCCACCCTTTCTTCCCAGCCAGGAGGTAACTCGTCTTCACTGTCTTCCTCTGCGAAATTCATTGTAGCCCTAGAACATGTGCCTAGTTATAAGTTTACTCAGGAGACGCTACCAATGTATACAACCGTTTAGCTAAAGTTTAAAGTGGAAAACAGATGCCATGCAATGGAAATATGAATCTCTTTGAAGCGATGAAATTATTAATCAACCAATAAAAATTCTCAGTCATTCAAAATTTTACCACAGATTTCACTGTGTATTTAGGTACATGGTGTTGGAGTGCAAATTGAAATTCTAAATTACCTGACTGTCCAAATATTGAAAATAATAAAATATAAATTATTGGAAAACTGGGTTTGCTTTAAATATCGTTTACTTTGATTATTATTTCAGATAAAAAGTGCAAATTACAAGAACATCAAAAAACAACATTGATCAAAACCTACAAATTTTACAAAAAAATAAATGAAAACAATTAATCAGCCGGGAATGAGTGTTGTATTTTGTATTTTTGGTTGCAGATCTGGTTGCATCCCTTGTAAAATTATTTTGCCTATCTATACTAGGTAAATATCAGTGTTGCCAATCTGAATTTGTGAAATTACACGATATGCTGGTCAAATTACACGTTTTTACACGCTTTCAGTCTCACAATTACACGATTTTTACACACGATCTTGGTACCTATTTCGTAACACCAAGAAGCAAGTATTATACCTATTTTTTTTTGTGATTTATGATTTTGGGAAATGGATTAAATCCAGTCAAATCAGCTGAGGGTAAATGCTCCTGACACTACAGTTTAGTAGCCTAGCGCCCCCGCTATACCAAAGCACCAGCGATGACGTAGCGTGTCGCTTCTCGTCTTGACGTAGAGTGTTTGCACCACAGTTAAATAATATTTTTCATCATCAACGTATATTCTTAACTACGACCGCTGAAGCAAACTGCTAACGTTGCTGTTGCCGTTGATGTCGGCAACGGTGCAACACCATATGAACTTGATTTCAATAATCGAGTTCGATAAGCAAGTGTGTATTGTCCTTGGCCATAATGGTAGCAAACAGCTGACGACTTCGTTAATGACGTCGACAATGGTGCATACCATATAATCGCGATTACCAAAAACGAGGCCGATAAGCAATGTATGTATTATCCTTGGGCATAAGGGTAGTCACATGACAGACTCTTTGACAGACAAAAGATGATGGAATGGAATGCAAGGGAAGAGAAAACGTCCTATTCATGTCACAATGGGATCTGGCTTTAGATTAGAAAGTAGAGGTCGAGAACTATCGATAGTAGGCGCCATCGATATTTATCGATAGTCGGCAAGAAACCATCGATAATTATCGATAGTTTTCGATAGTTTCAAAATGCTGAAATAGACATGAAGATAAATTCTTTCACTGTAAAAAACTTTATTTTTAAATTTTATACTTATTTGATTATACCTAATTGTATTAAAAATTCACATTTTTATGTAAAAATGTTAGCATATTATTAATATTGGCCGCCTTTATTCTGGATCGATGGGTTCCACTTCCAATTTACACTGGACATCTGACCGTATGGTGATTTCGATTGGTGGAACCGGAGCAACAAACATTTCGTCTCTTTCTTTATGTTTTCATTCCGATATCGTGTTATTCGTCTTCTCTCTTTCCTTGTCTAAGTTTCATAACATGCAACTATCGAAACTATCGATATTACAAGAAATACCATCGATAATTTTCGATAGTCCAAACTATCGATAACTATCGATAGACTATCGATAGTTCTCGACCTCTATTAGAAAGTCGTGAAACAGAACAAAAAAGGAGAAAATCAAATTTCTCAAATTACACGCAAAATACACGCTTTTTGTTTATGTTCGAAAAATACACGCAAGCCAATCAAAATACACGCAAATCGTGTAATTACACGCTTATTGGCAACACTGGTAAATATGTAGGTAGCAGGCGCAATACAGGGTGTCCCACGAGGTTTTACCCAGATGATAATTTCGGAACGCGTCATCGTATGTTCCCCTTTGTATTTTTTTTTATCATGTTCCTTAACAAAGCCTTATTAACAAATATGGCATTGCTGATTTTGTAATTAAATTTTCTAACACAAAATGCCATAATATAATATAAACCATAAAGTTACATAATGTAAGATTTTAATAAGTTTGCCATCACTTGATTGAAACTGGTGCGAAAGTGGGGAAATTAGATGACACGTAGAAGCGGCACAAAAAATTACCCAGATCCTCAAAATTTCAATTACATTGGATGACGCTCCCAAGAATCACCTAATCACCTGGGAAAAACGTCGTGGGCTACCCTGTAATATACTGTATTCTTTTTACCCGTTGAGTGACTCGGAGCTGCTCAATGTCGAAAGCTTGAACGTTCCTTTTAAAAGTGCGTAAAGCACTCCGAGTCGCTCATAGTGCATCCCCCTTACCAATGATGCACCAAATTTGCGGGGGGGTGCAAGAAGCCCTTTTAGGTAATGACGGTAATGTTAATATTAAAAAATTATGATAAAATCTGAATTGTGTGTTTTGGAGTGACTCCGAGGTGCTCGTTAGTTGTAACTCGATGTATAAAAGGAATACAGTAAATGGTATACGGTAGCACAAAAATGAGGCACTCAATTTATGGTAAATCACCATAGACAGGTAGAGGTATGTGACTGACTAAGTGACTATTTGCTATTGTGTCCATTTTTTATAGTTACGAGGTCGATTAATTGAAATCCAAGGCGTTGATGCTGATGTCCGAGTCTGTAAATAATTTCCAAAAGCCCTAGGAGACGGCCCTTTAAACCCATTTCGATTCTGCTCTATACAAGGTGAGTTCGGCTTAGCAACTCTCTTGACTACTTTGACACTTTTCACCAGTGTTGCCAGAGAGCAAAAATTTTTTGTACCAAAATTAAAGACAAAATTGTACCAGATTTAAGTAAAAATGTACCAGCTTATAATGCGCATGCGTTTCCTGAAAATGAGGATTATTTTTGATCCAGTAGGATAAAAGCACGTTTTGTTTTGATTTGATGAAAACCTAAACTAAACACAAACTACGTCAACCAAGAACCACAAAACGAGTGTTACATTGGTGGCGCCATCTATTTACGAATCAGAAATTATTGTTATGTCGAATTTAGATACAGAAATACAAATTAATTAGAACATTGAAATTAGACTAAGTAGGCAGTAGGTTAAGGGCGGGTATTATAAAACTACTTTGAGAGTTAACTTGAAGTTAACTTCTGGAATTACACGTAATTCAAAAAGTTAACTTCAAGTTAACTGTCAAAGCAGTTTTATAATACTCGCCCTAAGACTCTGAGAATTTGGAAAAAACTAAAAAAATTGAAAATTGTACCAAATATTGTTTGCCCAGCGGATCTGAGTCTATGGAAGGAATTCGGACGTAAATGTGTCATGTTGCCACGTTTAATTATAAAAAAGCGAAAATACTAGGCATGAGGTTAGTTAGTTTGAAAATCCATTTTTTAATAACAAAATATTGATAACAATAATAAAATGCTGAATATTTTAACGTGGTTGTTAGATCTATTCTTATTTTAATCCTGATTTCTTTAATTTGGTCTATTGTCAAAAATAAACATTTTCTAAAGATACCATCAGCTTTTGACAATTTGGCAAGCATCCGTCCTGGATGAACCTGATTGGTGGAGTTTTTGGCAGGATCGCCGTTGTCATGGGGAACCATACAGTTGTCAATGAGCTAAAGTCTCGCTATTGGCCAGGGCTCACGTCATTTTATCCTCCCATCTTGGAATATCGATTTATATTGAAATATCCAGTGGCGGAGATTTCGTCATTGCTGATTTTCGTGTAGGAGTTGCAATACGATAACACTTCCAAAAAGTTCCGGACGCAGCTGGGTATTTTATGAATGAAATCAGCCATTTTTGTTTACAACTGCATTCCCCTTACCGTTGCCCCGTAGACACAGACTCGCTGGGCAGACATTAGGTTTGCCAACGTCGTACCAGCGTACTTTTTCAAAGCCAATGGTACCAAATCTGGTAGAATTGTACCACCTCTGGCAACACTGCTTTTCACTATAAAATCGTTCAGGTCAGACCACTGAGAGCGAATAATGCAAGCTCCTCATCGTTCGGGTACAGCCAAGTAGAGTGAAAAGAGTTAACTCTACAAGCACCACCTCAAGAGATGAAGCTTGAGGAGCGAGCATGCGCACTTCCTATATTTCCAAACGGCGGTAAAATTTAAGTTTTTAATAATTCACTATGCTAACGATCGTACCCTAAAGAATTCAAAGAAGATATGTATTTCTTAGGACTTGGTTGCCTCCTGGGGCTCCTGGTAGAAAAAATGGCATCGCTCCCCAAAATATCCGCAAAAACACATGTTCCGGTTTGGGATGGGAATAAGCGCCTTCGGCATTCGCGGGCCGCGGCTCGCCTTGCACCTGACGCGTTCGACTTAAAACCATTTTAAGCCTAGTACTCATAACTGCGAAATTCGCACTTTTTTGACATTGCTTTGACAAATTGACGTTTTATGCGTGAATCAAACGTCAAATTGTCGAAGTTATGTCAAAAAAGTGCGAATTCTGCAGTTATGAGTACTAGGCTTTACTTCTTTCACTCTGTGATCACGTGACTATTAAACTGTTCTTTATCCGCTCCAACTCCGTTTTGCCAAGCCGAACTGACCTACAATGATCGATCCTCCGTATAGCCGATGACCAACAGAATTTTGGAGAAAGATGAATGATATTTACCGTTGGCATCAAAACATTCTGCCACCCAATCTAGCCATAGCCCGGAAACCTGACCAATCAAATTCGATGTGGCTATTTTGGGTGGCATAATGTTACTACATGCGCTGCATCAGGGGTCAGAATGTCGGGACGATGATGGCGCTATTTAAAGGGTCAGAATGTTATTACATTGGCTAGATTCAGGGTCAGAATGTTACAGGCGATAGAGCATAAGTATTAAACTTAACAAACAATGTTTGATGTTAAAAAATCTATAACTGTCTTTTGTACGTGTTATACAATCAGAAATTTATATTTTATTTGTGCTCCCTATGGATTTTTTTCATGAATATTTTTTTTGAAGATTCCAAGGGAGGAATTACGAAATAGGAAAAGACTACACGTATTTGCACAATTTTCTTCCAGCTGTATTTAAAAAAGTTTCCCATGCATTTTTCGTTTTAATTGAACCAGTCTTGAAATAAATCTTCTAGAACTTTGGGCAGTAGTGCCAAATTGTGTATGATTTTTCTTCATCAAATTGATAAGTGAGGCAAAAAAATCTTCACTAGTGTTTTCCTCTTGTTGAAGGTCAATTAATGATTGGCGATTTTCAATATTATCATCCGATATTAAATATTAAACTATTATTTAAATTAACAGTAGTAAAATTTTCAGGACCTTCATCCACATATCAGTCATATTTTGATTTGCAACTGCAAATGGCATATAAATTTTTTTTGACTGGACATTCTCTTCAAAAGCTAGCTGAGCCATTAAATACCTTGATCCGACACTATGGCTTGGAGTATTCGGA